AAAAAAATCAATATTTTCTCTTCTCCAAATATAAAAAATCCATTACTACTATTATTGAGATAATACTTTGTTGTATCTATTATAAGTTTTTTGAGATTTTTGACTTTTTTCCAATTGTGCATTGTGAAATTTCAACCATTCAATAAATTTTTCAACTTGTTCATTTCTCCACATCCAAGTTGGAAACCTAGTAAAACCTCTCAATGAATTCCTTGCAGACTTGAAAGTGTTGGTTTTAAAATTTTGTACATAACGATTAACATTATAACTATCAGGCCAATCTGCTTCACAAGCCACAACTCTTAAAAATATTTGATTGTGTATTAGTATTAGTGTCTATTATTTGTTTGTATTTTACGTCAAGAAAATTTTAAACTAACGTGAAATCTTTTTCCTCGATTAATCTTTTTGTAATTAAACATCTTTCACGATAAAACTCTTCAGTACCATGAGATGCTTCTCCAATTAAAACAATTTTTGCTTCACCGATACTATCAATTAATTGATCATAATCGTTTTTTTTATTAAGTTCTAAAGGCACGAGATTTGTTTTGATTATATCGTGTTCTGTGGTTTTTGGATTTTTTGGGTTCATAATTGATTGAAGAAATTTTTTTATTATTAATTGTGGTGAAAACAAACGAATTGAAGAATTTCTCATACTTTTGATTTTTAATTATATAGTCAAAACGTCATCGCATATTCATTACATCATATTTTATAAAAAAAAAGAAGACAAAATGTCATCAAGCATTGTGTTAGTATTTATTAGTTAGTATTATTTTATATTAATATGCAATATAATTTTTAAAAATCATTATGGTATGTGAATTGATGTTTAATGCAAAAAGTAATCAATTCACACATTTTCACATAATCAAATTGCAAATATCTTATTTAACGGATTTGTTTGATGATAATTGAAAAACGTGATTTGTATAACATTCTAAAAAGGGGCACATGAAAAGGACGGGGGACGGACAGGTGCGGCTTGAACCTGTCTCCATCCTTTTCTATTATTATTATTAATAGGGAAATCGGACGGGTTTGCTGTGTCATTACTGCCCGTCCCTGATTTTTCTTAAAAAGGACGGGTTACTGTGCCATTACCACCCGTGCCACTGCTCCTTTTATTGTTTGCGGACAAACCATGGAAAGGACAGGTGAAAGGTGTTTGTCATTATATAATTTTTAGTAAAAGAGCTTGCAAAATTGACTATTTAATTTCCCGTCTCTATTTATTCCTTATCTAAAGTTCTTGATTTTTTATTTTTTATTATACAATTGAGGCTAAAACTTATGTAAAAATAAAATAATGAAAAAATACAAATCATAATTAAGCCAATTAAAATATATTATAATCGAATACATGAAAAGGACAGGGGACGGGCAGGTGTGGCTTGAACCCATCCCCGTCATTTCCCAGCATCCCGTTGCTAGAATATTATTTATATTCCAAGTCCTATAATTGTAAAATAATCAAATCAAATATTAATCAAATATCAAACTTTCTCTGTGTATAACATTTCACTAATTTTCAACTTTTTTTTAAACGTCTCTAGCCAGTATAAATCGTGATCTTTATACATTAAAGCATTTCCTTTGGCCACATTTGCTCATTTAACCTCTAGATATATAACGATTCTTTTCATGTATTCCAGCCTAGTAAAGGTCTATAATCACTTCTTGCAATTTTCCATCAACATTTTCTATCATGATGTTTGAACTACATAGGTCTCCAAAATATTATTATTGTGGTTTACAAAATAGTTATTTTTTGCGACAAAAAATTCTCTTGTCGCGAAAGATAAATATATTAACAATTAATAAAGATATTTTAGAAAATACTTAACTAATATGAACATTCACGCAAAATTTATGTTTTTGGCATTTCTATAACCCTCGTAAAATTAAGGAACTTCAATTAATGGGTTTAATGTCAATAAGTTTTTATTTTTTTAAATAAATTTACGCGTATACTTTGAGGCAAAACATAAAATCCATATCAATGAGATATTAATAAGAGAATTTACACATTATTTTATGCTTGTGACAGCAGAACTTCTGTGTAAATCCAATGGTATTCCTCCTGCATCCTTAACAAGAACATTTAAATATGTAACATCGTCTATAACATGAATGCCTACCTACAATGCCGGATCGATTAGCAATTGGTCTACATGAATCAACAAAACTCATTCAATCTAATGTTCCTCACCACAACTTCACCTTCACACCATCATCCACTTTTTTCTTTCCCCCACATACACTCCTCATCAACCCCAAGATTTCTTTGTGCCTTGCTCACCAGACTCTGGGATTATGCCCTGTAATCAATGAGTAAATATGGCAAGTATAAAACTTTCATTTTTTCATAACAATATTTTATCAGCTATAGCCATTTGGAGGATCTCAAACTTGCTCAAAGTAAAGGAACCACGATATCAATAATATACATCCTTTCACTTTGATCACTGCAGGATGTACTAGTTGAGAGAGCTCGATTGCTCCATATTTTGCCACTAGGTAATATATGTTGGAAAGTTATCCAATAATCATTTGCATGAAGATAAATACTTGGAGATTACTTGCGGTTCGGGTTCATTCTCTTCATTGTGGAGTATATCTCTTGAAACATCTGAACCATCGAGATTTTCCCATAACCTCACTACAACCGATTCAGGAAGAATACATGTCATATTTTCATGTGGTTCCTAATAACGAATGTAAATATATAAACTCATGATACTCAAAACTCGAACACTAAATCGTTCTTACCATAAATTACGCTTTTTGCGTTACGTTTTTAGCACATATATTCATAAATTGATCGTTCTTTGTTTTTAACCAACCAGCTTTGTGTAAAAATGCCAGCGTTCCGCGTGAGAACTCAATTATTTTAAAAAGCTATGATCTTCATCTCGTGACGTAATTGAGATAATAATAAACAAATAATAATTGTTGAAAAAGAATTCATTCTCTCTCCTCTTAACCATCAATCTTTAAACTTTAAAAAATACAGGTACATAAATATTGTTGAGTATATTATATTACTGCATTAATTAGTTCTTCCTTTTTTTTCTTTTTTCCAATTAATTAAAAAAAAAATGGCATCTCAATATCAAAATTTTAAAAGATCTATTCTTTACAAATTTCATTTTAATAATTATTCTTCTTTTCAATTATTTTTTATCAATAATAATAATAATTATAATAATAAATTAAGGTTATTTACTACTACTACTACTACTACTACTACTACTACTACTAACACTAATACTACTACCATCACTAATAAATTAAAAAAAATTAACAATAAAATTATCATAAAAGAGCAAAACAAAAATACTGAACAACATCAACATGCGGTTATTAGTACGTTTGATTTGTTTAGTATTGGTATAGGTCCCTCATCAAGGTTAGATAATTTTTGCAAAAAAATTTTATATTTAAAACTTGTATGTGATATATGTGTGTGTATATATATTTATATTAGTCATACTGTTGGACCTATGCGTGCATCAAAACTTTTTCTTAATGATTTAAAAAATCAAAATTTACTCGACAAGGTATCTTGATTAATTTGTTCTTTTCTATATATTATAAAGCAATGTTTAAAAAAACTATTATGCTTATATATAAATAAATAAATCAAATAAATAAATAAATAAAAAGGTGAAATCGCTTCGGATTGATTTATATGGCTCATTGGCATTAACTGGTAAGGGTCATGGTACACCTGATGCGGTATTAATGGGAATGGAAGGTGAAACACCCGAAGATATTGATACAACATCAATATCATCAAGAATTAATGAAATCCATGAAAAAAGTAGGCAAAAAAACCTATATATATAATAAGTAATAATAATAATAACAACAATAATAATCCTTATATATATATATATATATACACACATATATAGATATTTTGAAATTAGATAAAGTTAAAGAAATACATTTTAATCCTAAAAAGCATTTAATCTTCCATTATGATAAATCGTTACCTAAACATCCAAATGGTTTAAGATTTAGTGCTTTTAACAACAAAGGTGATTATTTAGCAAATGGTGAATTTTATTCAATTGGAGGCGGATTTATTATCAAAGAAATTACCACCTCTATAAAAGAAGAAAGTACAAACCATTATTATAAAGCGTACGACAACAACAAAACTAATAATACGATGGTAACAAATAAAAATCAACGACAACAAGATCATGGTAATCATCAACAACAACAAAAACAAGCTACCATTATAATGAAAAAGGCAACAACAACAACAACAAAAGAAACAACTGTTTCTGCTACTGCCACCACCACTGCTACTAACGCATTACTACCATTCAGTAACGCTGAAGAATTATTGGAAGTTTGTAATCGTGAAAATTTATCAATATCACAAGTTGTTTATAAAAATGAATTGCAATGGCACCAAAGCCACAACCACGATGATATTAGTGGCGAAAATGAAATTAATAAAAAAATAACAAAGATTTGGGAAACGATGGATCAAAGTATCATAGCAGGTTGCCTAAGTACCGAAGAATATTTACCTGGCAGTATAAAAGTTAAAAGAAGAGCTCCAGGATTATATAAACAATTAATGATTTATGATGATATTAGTAGTAAAACTTTAGATTTTTTATCAGTTTATGCTATAGCTGTCAATGAAGAAAATGCTGCAGGTGGTCGTGTTGTAACGGCTCCTACTAATGGAGCAGCAGGTATAATACCTGCCGTATTGAAATTTTATTTAAAATTCATTTCAAAAAACCCTAGAAAAGAGCAAAAATATATTATGGAATATTTGTTTACTTGTGCAGCTATTGGAATGCTTTATAAAAAAGGTGCTAGTATTAGCGCTGCCGAAATGGGTTGTCAAGGAGAAGTTGGTGTTGGTAAAAAAAATTTTTTTGTTTAATTAATTATTTAATTTATAAATAATATAATATTTTTCTAATTACAAATTATTTTTTTTTTCAGCTTGTAGTATGAGTGCAGCAGGATTCGCTGCATTAATGGGAGCAACACCAGAACAAGTAGAGAATGCAGCGGAAATAGGCATGGAACATAATTTGGGACTTACATGTGATCCAGTAAACGGACTGGTACAAATACCTTGTATAGAAAGAAATGCACTTGGGGCTGTAAAAGCTGTTACAGCAGCACAATTAGCATTAAAAGGAGATGGAAATCATCGAGTCACATTGGATCAAGTTATTGAGACTATGAGACAAACTGGTCATGATATGCAAACTAAATATAAAGAAACTAGTTTAGGTGGATTGGCTGTTAATGTTCCAATTTGTTAAATTTATTGTGATTTTTGTTGTAATTTTATTATTTTATTTATTTTTAAAAATAATAAGATTTTTTTTTAAAGTTTTTTTTTGGGGGTTTAATCAAGAAAAAAAAAAAGTAAATAAAGAAAATATGTATAATTAATTAATTATATATATATAAATAAGAAAATCTATACATAAAAAAAGTTACAAAGAACATATAAATAAAATCAAAAATTTTTCTTTTTAGAAAACCAATAACAATAATCTCTAAAAAATAAATAGCATTTTATTATGGATAGAAATATCATTAAAAAAAAAACCAAAATTTAAGAATCCCAACTTATTTTAAAGAAATAAAATATAAATATAAATATATATATATTAAATATTAATCCCTTTAATAATAATATAATATAATGGCCCATTTATCTTATCTTCACATGTATATAGGCTGAATAATAAAAAATATCCATATATTTTTTCATCTAATTTTTAATTATTATGATGATTACTTTCTGACAGACCACGTCTACAAATTGGACATTTATCAGAATTTTTGAGCCAAGTATCAATACAAGATTGGTGAAAATCATGTGAACATGGTAAACTCCTAAGTCTTTCATTTACTTCATACTCTGTTAAACATATAGTACATCTATATATAAAAATAATCATAAGGTTGTTTAAAAAGGGGGGTTTTTTTTAAATGAAAGATAAAGGTCTTTTTTTATCATTTACCTCTCTTCCTGAGTTCTGTTCTTCACAATTGTATAAAATTTAACTGGTATATTATTAATAACATGCTCAGGGACACCTTTAGGTTTTGCATCGCCAATTCTTTCACTTAATCTCACTAAAGCATCATAACTAGAATCAAATTCGTCGTCATCCTAATGTAAATGTATATAAGATAATAAAAATAATCATTAAATTGTTTCTATATTAAAAACAAAAAAATAAAAAATAAACAATGACTTACCAAATAATTGTCTGGATTTGATGCAATACCACTTCTAAACAGCAGAAATAAAATATTATTATTATTATAATCTCTCCTTCCGAATAAATAAGATCAACAAATAAACGAATAATTACCCGAAAACTTCTGGTAACAAATCTAAAATATGCCCCCATTCAATTTCATTATTATCAATAAAATTACCTAATATTGGATGATGATGGTTTAAATAATTTCCAAATTGTCTTGCATTTCTTGATTGACTACCACGTGAACCATGATGATGGCCACGACGAGGTGTTTCATTACTATTACTGCTACTGCTGCTACGTTGTTCACTATCATTGTGATGATTATGGTGATGGTAATGAAGTCTATCATGATGTGCTAAAATCTCTGGTAATCTATTTACTAATGGAGTACGAATATTTTCACCTCTCCTTACACTTATGTTACGTGTTGAGGCTGAAGATGAAGATGAAGTGGTGGTACTTGAAGTTGAATCTCGACGAGTTGGAAGTCGAGCTAATTAATTCATATTATGAAATGACAAGAGAAGAAAATTTTATTACTTTTTCGAGAAAAATAATTTTTTCAGTTTTTTTTTTTTAATAATTAATTAATTAGTTAATACCTCTATTCACACCAACAAAGATTCTAGCTAAAGCAGAATGTTCATCTGGATTCTATATTTAATTAACAATTAGCAATTAATTAATCCGTTATAAAACACGCGCGCAGAATATTAATTGAAAAATAAAAAAAAATTTTCCATACATAATTTGAATTATGATCTGATACATGAAATCTCCTTGAGAATTGTTCATCATTATTATTATTACCACTATTATTGTTATTGTTATTGCTATCGCTACTGGCTCTTGATGATACACGGTGATTAAATGAGTTATGTCTAGATTCTCGTAAATTATTACTGCTACTATTGTTATTGTTATTGTTGTTGTTATTGTTATTAGTATTAATATGATTATCAAATGTCGTTGCCATTCTTCTAGGTCTAATCCAATGTCTATTTTGTGGAATTGGAGGAGGTGGTGGTGTTGATGATATTTCATTGTCTGAACTTTCATCAACATCAATATTATTACTATCTCTATCATCATCGTCACTTCCAAAAACTGTTATAGGCTCTATTAAACTTCCAAAACCTGAATGATTATTGTGATTGTGATTGTGATTTTGATGATTATGATTGCTGTTACTATTATTATTATTACTATTATTGCTGCTGCTATTGTTATTGTTTAATTGCCTGATTGATCGACGATTGGAAGAAACCGTTGTTGGCCTAATTAATATTTCAGGTCTTGATCTTGATGTTTCGCCCCCACCACCACCATTACTGCTAATATTACCAGTAACAACATTATTTAAACCGCTGCCACCGCTATTAGCGCGATTTCCCCATCTCATTGAAAATGTTGTCGAGGAATTTCTTTGCGAATTACCAGGAATATTACTATTGTTGTTGTTGTTGTTGTTGTTGTTGTTATTATTATTATTATTGTTGTTGTTGTTGTTATTGCAATTATTAATATTATGGGGATGTTGATTTCTTCTGTCTGTTGAAGGAGATGGAGAAGATAAAAATTCTGTTAACATTAAAGCATGTAAAATTGAATTAGCAGGAGCAAAATTTGAACTATAACCTTGTTGAGCATTATTAGTATTTTCATTAGAAGTTGGAGAGATTGTTACAGGCGGTTGTGATGTTGAGTGCCTCCTAAATGAATTTAATGTTGTATCTATTGATGTGGGATGCGGTATATTATAATAACTCCTCCTTATATTGTTGTTGTTACTGTTGTTGTTACTAATGTTAGTATTGCTAGCAGCAATTGTATTATTATTAGTAGTGGAATTACTGTTATGGACATAAATTGGTGCTCTAGGGACGACAAAACTTTGAGACTGTGGACGAGTCGACGAGTGAGGTGAAGGTGTAGGATTATTAGGAATAGAAGATGTAGGTGGAGGAGTTGTTGCCGTTGTTGTTAGTGATGAATGTGGAAAATCTGCAAAATTATTTGAACGAATAGGAAAGTTAAATGGTAAAGAAGAAGAAGGAGTGACAGGCGGGGGAGCAGGTGAAGCAGGTGGATGGTGGGGAGGATGAGGATTAGAAAATGATAAAGAAATAGGCGATGGATTTGTTTCTGGATTATTATTATTGTTGTTATTATTATTGTCCACGGAAAAATTTATTAACATTGATGAACTGTTACTTCTGGATGATACCATGGACAGGTAGTGTACAAGTCACATGATGAAATTTTATGTATGCAAATAAGCTTGAAATATTAATTTATCAATTATACACCTATAATTATATTAGCATGACATGTCTTATACTTGATTGAATGCTAAACAACCAAAAATTATTAGTGAACACTTGAGGCTGTTAAAAGAACCAAAAAATTTTAATGAAACCAATCAATGGAAACTTCACATTGGAAATATTTTGACGATGATGACAATCTTGTCTTTAATGACGAAATTGACCATTTTGAAGATGTGGCGTATATTTTGGGTTTATCAAGATTCATGCAAGTTTGATATAAATATAATAATAAAATACAATATTCGATTTTATATATCTACATGAACTCATTTGAACTTGGATAAAAGAAAAGTCATTAAATACATAAGAGATACCGATATTATTGTCCCAAATCTCACGTCTTTCCTGTTTAGATGATTATTATTATGGAATTTTTCTTTTTTTTTTGTCCGTACTAATTAGTCCATATTAATATTAATATTAATATGTTTCTAAAAACCGTCGTGTAAAAATACCACATTGATCGCTATCTATAAATCATAAATTTTCTTGATTTAGTATTTCCTGGATTTAGCTCTGTGAAAGGCTGGTTGACTCATAATAGACAATCCAAAAAAACACGCATACTTTATCAATCAAATCAAAGCAAGTATTGGAAATCATTCTCGAAACTAACATCATTTGGATTTTATTTATCCTTGCATTCTTATCTCAAAGTATCGACGAATTCGGCAGTTTTGAAAATCCCACGCATGAACTCAATAAATAACACTCGAGTGGATGTGTTAATAATTATATATCGACACTGTTTCTATATATAGAAATTATTAAAAAGCAATTAGCATCAAAATTTTTATCGTTGTCATTAATTAGTAAATTACAGCTAGTTAAATTTATGAAGTAAAGATCTACAAAGTAGATGAGGTCATGGATGTATAAGTTGTTTCTTTGAAATTTTTTCACATCAGCGCAAAAAAATCAAATATGGTTTTTTATTGGCTAATTTAATTTTCACATCACAATGAAATAACCAGTTTTGGACCAATCTCAATATGGCTAACCTATTTGGTTCTATATAAGAGCAATGACTTTGCCTTTCTGAAACTCGACTGATAACTTCCTTACTAGATTAAGAAATTAGGAAAAATGAATAATTTTTTTCTCATAATGACTCTTTTTCTGCGGCAGATAATTTCCAATTACCTTTTTACTTCAATTTCTCGATAGGTAATAGCCCGAACTTTGAAATCTGGTTTGCTACTTGCCATTTTTTTAAAACTCTCATGATAAGGGCAAAAACAAAATGAGCAATTGTTATTAATTCAACGAAGGCTCTTAATTAAGTTAAGCGAACTGAGCTAACCGAAGTTTACATTTGACAATTTTGTGGGCATCAAAAAGAAGTAATAATCGAAAAAAAATGTTGGCGATAGCATTGAACTTTAGTAACATTTCTACGAAAAATGCAAAGAACAATAATAAAATTGTATCCATCCACAGAAGAGAAATAATGACAAAGATCTAGTTTGCTATGAGGATTTTATAACACAGCCTGGATCCTAAAGTCCAAATTAAAATTGAGCTAAACAATGCATAAGAAGAATAAGCTTAGCATGCATTGAATAATCAAAATGTCATTAGCATTGTTATAAAGCGGCGCGACATTTTTTTTGCCTTTTCTTGCCTTTTTTGTTAATTTGAAATGATTCTTTTTTAATTTCCTATTTTGTAATTTTTACGTTTCACGAAATTAAAACGATTGCATATTTCTATTTACTATTAGCATACTAGTTTTTTACTATACTACATATGAGATTATATACTAATACTACTATTTGTTACTGCCTGCTCATTTTGAAAAAGGTAATTTGTATATTAAAAAAAAAAATCATATTGCATTGATCCAATTAAATTCTTTCCGCATTAACCGAATTCTCTGGTGTGTTTTTAACGTAAGAAAGAACGGAATTAAATTGGTGCTACTAATCAATATAAAATGACTTTTGATTTTTCCAAATTGTTTTTTAATACAAAAAAGTTATATTTATAAAAAAATTATTTGTAAATATTATTTTCAATCGATATAAAAAAGTGTTCATTTTTATTTATATTAGTCAAACAGCAGCATTTCGCTTTTGGTGAATTATATAAATATAATAGATATATGTATGCACGTATGCAAATACTTTAATTATTGATTATTGTTCAATTGTTAAATTGATTTTCTCTCTTGACTAATTTTAATATTGTTATTTTAGTTTTTAATTAATAATTATCACACTAAATAAACAATGTGAGAAATATAGTTAATAAATACTCATTTTTTAAAAAATCGGTAAAGTAACAGTTTCTCACTATTATAATAAAATTTTCTACTGCTACAAAAGATTTTAATAAATATATAACTTTTTTTTTGTATTATTTTATTTTGCAGAAATTTATTAAACGTGACTAACTTTTATTGTAAATTGATTGTTCGAGTAACGGTCGTATCACCATATGGAAAAACATAGTACCCTTTTTTAAAAATATTCCTATAAAGAGATTATCTAAGCTTAATAATAATTGGTTCTCAACCTCTGTGTGTGTGTGTGTTCTTATAGAGGCTTTTATAAAGGGTGTAGGTGGTGATCGACATCCCGCCTACCCTATGAAAACAAATTTACCATCAATTTCAACCAAATCCCATTCCTTCTAACTCCCATTTTTTTGATTAATCACTTTGAGGCTATTAACAAATCTAATTTTATTTATGTTTGAGACTCTTCAATATTCTCTTGGATGTGGAAAGTCATTTGAACAAGTAAGTAATCTCTGAATATCTATTAGTATCAGAAATTGTTATTATCACCTACTCCCCAGATCATCCATTTGTTTCAGGAATCATTAGGCTGAAATATTTGTCCTGGCTAAAACATTTTTTGTCAGAAGAGAGGAAATTGAGATTTTGAAAAAATTCAAATTTCTTTCAGATTGATGGAGGCATGATGATGCTTTCACCTAACTAGATCCAATATCAGTTGATAATAATCAACAATGAAAAAAATTACCTTTAGAGTTGTCCATTTTTGGTATGTTGTAGTATACATTTCACATATAATACAAATATTAAATTTTTTTAGGACCAAATATACATTAAATTCTTTTTTGATCAAGAAAACAGTATAATTTTTACATCATTTAGTGATTAAAGGTGCAGGCTTATTGGTATAATGACATGTTGTAGTGATGCAACAAATAGGTTTGCATCCTTATTAATAGTCAAGTTCTTAAAGTTTTTTTTTTTAGGCATTGAGAAAATTGTGCTTGAATTATTTATATTGGGGTTATCAGATCTCTTCTTGAAGTGGTTACATCAATGAAGGTAACCAATCATTATTTCACATTGAACCTCATTCATGACTTGGAATAGTTGGCCATGGTGAGTAGGTTTTTTGTCAGTCTTCATATTCATTATGTGTGGGATTCAAAGCTACAATATATTCAATAAAAAATATAAAATTTGGCATTCCTTACTTGAGGAAGCTGGTACAATTTGAAATTCCCGAGATTGATTCTGAAAACAGTAGAATGAAATGACCGACTGAACATCTGATGTTTCTTAATATATTTTTTTGAAAAATTAGCCCAGTATTGTTGAATCTTTTACTTGAATTAATATTTGCTCACAAGAATGTTTAGAAATCTTGGAAAAAGTGTGATTCGAAAGCTCATTAAAGTTATTGTTGACAATAATAACTCTTGTAGAATATTGCTACTATTGATGTGTTATTTTTGAGACTTTATAACAATAAAATAATGAATAATTACATGGTCGTCGATTCTCGTTAATCATTTCTAACAGATCTTGAAAATTATCCAACCAAATTTGAATATTATCTAAATTTGGACTAGTTACACGCCGAATTCTAACCAACGATTTTCCTATATATATAATAAATTTTTTTAAAATTTCATATGCGATGCCGCCCCGTAAAAAAATGACGTTAAACAGATCTCTAAATTTGAACGGCCTTGGTTACAAAATCAAGAGTGCTGCCCAAATTTAGATGACTTATGATTGAATAATAATGTTAACTCTACTCTCAAGTAAACAAACATAAGACAAAATGTACATTATGTATTTAACATTTGAAAAAAAACTTTACCTAGAAAGTAAAAAGATAAGATAAAAAAAAAGTCCATCGGCTATTAATATCACAGTCACATTATTATTGTTTATTCGAACCCCCCCAGAAATTCTTCGACTTTGTCGGGTTCTGTTACGATACGCCCCATATATATTATTTATTAAATATTTATAATAAGTTAGTATCACAAACTTTTTAAAAATTTCTAAAATTTTTTTTCATAAAACTCTAAACTTAGTCTCCTTTAATAATAATAATATACATAGATTGTATGTTAATATATTAATGAAATAATGGTAATTTTCTTCCATATCAGGACGCATCTGATTTTTTTTTTTTGAAAAATACTGCAATAATCTCTCTGATGACAAATTGGCTAAAAATTCTTTGCCGAGTATAATTATATACATACGTAAAGCAACTCTTGTATTTCGCTAGTATATATATTTCTCCTTTCTCCTTTACTCCTTTTCATCCTTTTAATTTTGACAGAAATATTTTTGAGGATAATTTTTGTAATAAATAATTAATTCGCATTACAATTTTGACATTTTTAATAATAATTACATATTTATTATTATCATATTTATCCATATTTTATTATTATCATATTTATCCATTTTTTATCATCATCATCATCATTATCATAAAATTATTTAGTTGGTTTGTGTGATTCTTGTTTGTGCTTAATTTTTTTTTTTAAAAATTTTTCAATTTTCCAATTTCATTTCTAATAATTTAATTTTCCTCCTCTTGTTGAAAAAATAGTTTGTCTGATTTAGTATAATTACAATTAATAATTATATCTACTACTGTTTATCGTCTCTATCAGCCAAACGGTCATTAAGTATTTTTGTTCGTTTCATAATAATCATAACCATATTTATAAAAAAAGTCCGACTTGCTCTTTGTCAAAAAAAGAAAACTGAAAAAATTAAGATAACGTAAGTAGCTATTTATTATTTTGCTATTAATAATAGTAAAAATACAATAATAATAATAATACGTTATTATTAATAGTTTATTAGCGCACACACTGAAAAAATAAAAGTTTTAAATTTAAAGATTTAGAAGATTCTTTAAATTTTAGAAAATAGTTATATATACATATATAAATAAAATTAATATATATATTGGGGTTTTATTCATTTTTTAAAAAAAAAAAATTTTTCGTCTCCTTTTTTTAATTTCACAATTCACTCTTAATAATAATAATAATAATAATAATTACATCCTCCCTTCACGCTTCCAAACTTCCATACCATATTAGGCAAAGAAAATCTCCGAGAATTAGTTTATTATTACTATTATTGCTATTTATAGTCTTTTTCTTTTAAATTCCATTATTAGAAAATGTCTCTCGCTGAGGTGGAAGACTCTCATACAACAACAACTTACACTACCACGATAGAAAGAACTACTTTTAATTATTATAATCTTAACAACAGTAACAACAACAACAACAACAACAATAATCGTGTTACTGAAAACGGACGAGAATATAATAATATTAATGGTAATGTTAGAGCATCTTATTTAAATGATTCTTGCGATGACGGTATGGATTGTGATAGCGTAGTTTCGGATGAAAGTGAAGATAATAATAGTAATAGAAGATATATCCACAACTCTTATAATAACCATCATCATAGTAATTATTATCGTAATATGAATATTATGGCAGGGAACAATCATATTAGTAATAATGGAATTATTGTTGGAAATAATAGAAATGTTGATATATTAACAAATAATGCAATCACCACAAGAAACCCTTCGATAAATGATGAACAAATGGATGTTTGTGCTTCTGAATCACAGATAGAAAACAGCAACCATCACCATCACCATCACCACCAACAACAACATCATCATGGCCAACATCATTCAATCTTTCAAATAAATAACAACAATATTAATAATATCAATGTTAACAATGTTACTAATAATATTATTAGTGGTGGCCACAGAATTATTAATAGGAATAATAATAATCATCATCATCATAATAATAACAATAATCATAATCATAATAATCACAATATTATTAGTAATAGTAATAATAACAATAACAGCAGAAACAACAGTAATTTCAATAATAATAATAATAATAATAATAATGTTGGTCCTTCAATTAATCACGTTTTTGGAAACGTTAATGGTCATAATCTTACTTTTCCAAGAAACAACAATAACAACAATAATATTTTACCACCAATTCATTTACCCATTCAAAATCATCCTGTACCAACATCCATAACTTCAACAAACAACAATTCATCATCATTATCAAATAGTAATTGTAGGCATAATGGGGATCCATTTATGATTTACCCACAATCTTCTTTAAATTCAAGAAATTTGCCAATGTCGTCGTCTAGAGACATTCGTAATAGTAATAGTAATAGTAATAGTAATAGTAATAGTAATAGTAATAATAATAATAACAACAACAACAGCAACAACAACAACAACAATAATAACAACAACAACAACAACAATAATAGTTGCAACAACAACAACGGTAACAGCAGTAATAATAATAATAATAGTAACTTTTCTTTTTCATCATTCAATAATAATATACATTCTGAATTCTTTGGAGCTCCACATATGAGTCATCATCTTGCTACTGCTTCTAATAACAATAATAATTATTATTCTTCCGAAGTTTCAAGTGCACCAATATCCGCATCATCGCCACCGTTGTCTTTACCAAATAATAACAATCAACAACAATCACAACAACCGTCAAACTATTACCACAATCACCACAATCACCATCAAAATCAATTATATCAATTGCCAAGGCAACCACCAAAACAAAGTTCTTTAAGATTTGGATTTTCAGAACCTTATATACTGCATGATGATAGTGAAAATAATGATGACGATGACGATGATGATGATGTTGTTGACGATGTCGAAGAAGAGGAGGAGGAGGAGGAAGATAATGAAGATGATGACGTTGAGGATGTTGCGGATGAGAGAGAAAAGTCGATAAGCGCCGTTGGGTCATCTGCATCATATGATTCATCTGCCTCAAGGAAAAGGGCTAGATCAATTTCTAATGATTGGACAAATGTGGTAGTAACACCAAACTTTGTGTCATCCTCCATATCATCTATACAATTTGGTTCTATATAAGAGCAATGACTTTGCCTTTCTGAAACTCGACTGATAACTTCCTTACTAGA